GTCGTTCAAGGTCTCTAACCATTGATGACTTTCGTCTCGCGGACCCCAACCAGGTAGTCTACATCTACCAACATGACACAGTCCACTTGTCAGTGACTTCGTGGATTTCTGCCATGTTTTGGTCTGGCCGCCCCTAGCTTTCGTCCAACCTACTCCTACACCACAAAACATAGCTCGTCGAGGCAGTCGGTGGTTAGGCATACGTAACACATGTCCCAACCACCTCAACTGATGAAGTTTCACCACTTCATCTATTGATCTGCCATCCTTACCTAGTACTCGTTTCCTGACAACAGCATTGCTTACTCGGCTGTCCCACGATATACGAGCAATGCTTCTTAAACATCTATGATCGAATACTAGTAACCTACGAACATCTTCTACTCTTAACGGCCATGTTTCACAGCCATATAAGAGAACGGAACGAACTGCTGCGCAGTACACCCGCCCTTTGGTTAGCGAACGGATATCACGCCTACGCCATAAGTGACGCAGGTTGGCAAAAGCCAATCGAGCCTTCTGTATCCGAGCTGAGATTTCGTCAGTCACCAGACCGTCAGCACTGATGAGACTCCCCAGATAAGTGAAGTGATCTACACATTCGACTACTTCACTCCCTATCACTAGTTCAGGTGCCAATGCAACCCAGTCTTGAAGCAACATTTTGCATTTCGAGGGGGAAAACCGCATCCCGAACATGCTCGCACTGTTGCTTATGGTAGTCAGAAGACTCTGCATTTTGTCAGCGTCTTCACCGAATAGAACTATGTCATCGGCATATTCTAGATCAGTAAGCGAATTTCCTGGTAGAAGGTCAACCCCTGAAAAATCTGACGAGCTTAATGTTAACTCTAAGAGGATGTCTACGACAAAGTTGAACAAGAATGGAGAGAGTGGACAGCCCTGACGGACACCACTTGATGTAGAGAATTCAGATGACAGTTCGCCATATGCTCTCACCCGACCACTGGTGTTCGAGTAGAGTGCTTGTATAAGGTTAATGTACTTATTTGGTACACCTTTCAATGACAGACACTGCCACAGAACCTCACGATCCACTGAGTCGAATGCTGCCTTAAGGTCCAGGAACACGACTATTGTCGGACGTCTAAATGTGTGTCTGTGTTCCAGGACCTGTCGTAGTGTGAAGATGTGGTCTATACAACCACGTCCAGGTCGAAAACCAGCCTGGTTGTCTCGAGTCTGCTCTTCACGAGCTCTAGTTAGACGTCTAAGTATAATCGAGGCTAACAATTTAGAAACTATATTAGTTAAACTTATTCCCCTGTGATTGTCACAAGAGGACTTCTGTCCTTTCTTGTAGATTGGGACAATTAGCGACTGAGACCAGTCGGATGGGATTACGTCCATTTCCCAGATTCTACCTAGGATCTCGGTCAGTCTAACCGTTAAAACTGGACCACCATCCTTAAACATCTCAGGGGTAAGCCTATCGGGACCTGCCGCTCTACCTCTCCTTAGATTTCCTATAGCTTTCTCAACTTCATGTAAACTGGGAGGACTTAAATCGATTTGCCATTCAGGATGACTGGAGATCGTGGGCAACCGAAGAGTGGCTGAAGGCCAGTTGAACTGATCCCTAAAGTGTTCTGCCCATCGGTCCAGCCTCCTAGATTGAGAATGGATAATAAGACCATCCTTTTCCGAGATAGTCTCACTTACATTCGGGTTCCTAATACCGGTTTGTTTGATAAGGCGGAAAAGTTGTCTACTGTTGCCTATCGCCGCTGCCTTTTCCATCGCTTTTGCTTACGCCACCCACCACTGTTCACGGTCGTTACGTAGGCTTTTTATGAGTCTGTGACTAAGCTGACTACGCTCTTCATCATGTTGAGTCAGGTGGGATGCGTTTTCGAGCATCCATCAGTTCGGTGGATGCGGCTGAAATCCACTGCTTCATCCAGCATTGTGGTTTACCTTGCAGCAGATACCATTGCTGTTTCCACAGCCTTCTTGATATGATTCCAACCTGCTTCAGGATGGGAATCACTTGCATGGCCGCCTAACTGTTTTTCTAGTTCCTCCTGAAATATTTTCTTAGCTTGATTATCATCAAGTAAAGCCCTAAGAGGCTTCCTTACGGTGTCTTTCCTACGTCCAGCAAGCCTCAAACAAATACGTGCTCGCACTAGGGCATGATCTGAATCCAAACATGTGCCCCAGAACGAGCGACAGTCTTCTATCGAACCCCTCCATCGGTGGCTGATGGCGATATGATCTAGTTGTGTCCAACGTTGAGACGACTTCGGGGGTCGCCAGGTCAAAAGGTGTTTTTCCTTATGCTTAAAATTAGTGTTTGCTAGAAATAGTTGGTTATCTGAGCACAGTTGCAACAGACGGTCGCCATTGTCTGTTCTTTGAGCCGCGAGACCGTAACATCCACCTAGGTGTCTTTCATTTTCACTTAGTCTACCTACTTGTGCATTGAAGTCACCAGCCATTATAACTATATCAGAGCGCCTAGCTTTTTGGAGGAGGTCCGAAAGCTTTCTGTAAAACTCATCTTTTACATCATCTGGGCTGCAGTCAGTGGGAGCGTAGGCTGATATGACGAAGAGGCAACGGCGAGTGTCCCTCTCTTTCCGAGTCCTTACTGTCCCGTTGAGTCGGACGGCGCACAAGCGACTATCTACAGGGATCCAGTCAAGGAGAGATTGTTCTGCCCTACGACTCAATGCTATACCTACACCGGCGAGGCCCCTGGAAGCAGCATCAGGGCTACCGGATACACGAAGGGTAAATCGAGCTGCTTCTTTATCTTGACATGGTGAGGTCAAATGAGTGATGCTACTCGGATCCTGTATGCGCGTTTCCGAGACGCAGCACACATCGATGGAACGAGATTCTAAAGTCCTAGCTAATGATGCCTGTTGCCCTATTTGACACAATGTCCGTACATTGAATGCTCCAACATGTAGTTTGGAACGGGGTTTAAGGAGACCAGGAACGACGTTTCGCAAACTCGCATCGTTTGCATTAGCTGTGCACTGTAATAAATGAATGTGAGAAGAGTTAGTTGTGGAGATAAGAGAGGTATTAGGGAATGTAGGAAGGATTTGATTTCGACCAATTTGGTCTCGTGTGCTGTTGCGTGTATGAGGGCGGTTGTCACTTCCCGGCTGCCCACACCGTGGAAGGTTGTTTCTTGACGAACCTGAAAAGGAAGATGGATTAGTGTTGGTGCGTGACCGCAGAGTCCAAGGGACAACTGCTTGAGGCCGGTCACGCACGGCCTTTTTATGAGAGGTATTTAGAGGATTAGTTCCGTTCTTAAAGGCCCTTAGTGGGCACCCTTACCCAAGGAGACGGAAATCCGTGAGGTAGGGGAGGTGTGACATTTTTAGGGCCGACCTTTTCTAACCCTTCCTTCCTTGTGAGAAGGCAGCATCGCTGCAGATGCTGGTTGTCCGAGGGAAACACCTTACTGCTGTCACACCCCTCTGCAGTCAGCAGTACGACTTCGCCCTCAGACCTTGGGTAGCTGTTTTTAGTCTCATCGTTCTCCAATCGACCTGCCTGGCATGGTAGGACCTGCAGGAACATGTGTTCCAGCCAGTATAGCTCGGTTGGGTCATCACGATAGGCAAGCCCGACCACCACGTCAAGGTAGCAGCTTCGGTCGGGATAAGAAACCACTACAATACTTAATACAGGTAACTTGAAGAATCAACAAAAAAATATCTGCGTTAACTTGGACATTCCGACAGCATAACATGTAGTTTTGTTTTACGCTATTGAAATAACTGTAGTTGGTTTGAGGAGGTTGAAAGACAGTCAACTTGGGATATGATACCATAAAATCCATGATCAATGTGTTGTGAAAGCATTTGATAGTACGTTAAGATTATCTAGGTACAAAATAACTCAAATGATTGAGAAATCAATTGTAATCATATAGCCGTTTTATTCTGTATTTTGTATTTACAAGATGCCATTCTGAAAAAAACTAATGCGTACCTTAATCGTTTTCTGATTCTTTTCTTCATAACAAAAGTTTTTAAATCTCCTTTAAAATAACAGCTGACTATTGTGGTGCATTTTTGGAGCCTCAATTTTATATAGTCAAAAATGAATGGCTCCTTAGTTTATCGAATGTGGTTAAAAATAAGAGTAATTTTATGGAATCAAATAAATCACAGAATGTATTAAAAATATCAGAGAATTTAAAACGTATTTTATCCACAGGACTTTATTTCGGCTAAAATTCACTCATTCAATTACATTATTTGATAGGATAACAAGATACAAGTTTACGTAGCATTGTGAGCAGATTGAAAATATCCTCAGAAAAATTGTGTCGGTAAAGCAACCAATAAGAAACACTTGTTCATTCAAATCCAATACTTTAGAGTAGCATATGCTCAAGTATTTAATCACAGTATTGTGAAAAAGCAGGCTAACCGACAACAACAGTTTGAATTTTAAATAGTTTATGACACAATGAGGACAACTCCTGAAAGTCATGGATTTTTATTCCTAAAAAACACTACTCCAGGTCGTTATATATGTAAATATGAACACACAAGAATTCGATAACTTCTAAATTAAGATGTCTCTGATCATGAACGTACATTTCAAAATCCAATCAGAAAATTAAGGAATATTTAACTTATATGAAGTAATAACCGATTCTCGTATAACAAAAAATAATTTTCGATAGTTTCTAATATAGACTTAAGTATTAGCATATTCACAAAATATTTAGTTGACATCGGTGGATACAAGTATGATTCAGTACCATTCAACGCAAAAGTATAAGGACCCACAGAGGAAAACCTCATTTTCCAGTCTTACTGAGCTGAAATAGGGTAATCTATATGTTAAACAACAACGGGATTACCTTTTGGAGTCTGAAGAGAATGGAGAGTTATAAAACTGATAACCGATAATATCCAAAAATTTAATAATAATGCAAATTTCGAAAGTTTTCAAATGTCATGCGGGTGTGAATATAAATAAATTTGTAGAAGACTCCATACCTGCTGTTTCAGAAAACTGCCTTCTAACAGGAACTTTCTGACCGTTTCGCCCACTAAATGATTTTAACGGTGTATTTACATAAATAGGTTTAATTGTTCTTGCATTGAAAGTGTGGCCAAAATCTGTTTTTCTTGCTTCTGTTGGTACTGATGCTGCCGTGGATTTCAGTGGTCCTGAAGCGATTGCCTCGTTTTTGTAGGTTTGATGACCGTCATCAGTAGATAAGGTACAGCTGGATTTCAACAGACTTAGTTTGTTATTTCCTGTTGATTGTTTCTCTTCTCCAGCCACACTTAGATTTGGAACTAAAGAATAGCGATCTGAAGAGCAAGGTGACTGTTCGATTGCATCAGTGTTTAATCGTAAGATAGAAGGCTCCATTTGAAAGGAAGAAACAGGAAAAGTGATAGAATCCGTAAAACTATCAGAAAATGCAAGATCTGGTTTAAGATCATTTTTCGAAGATTCATATCTACAAATTTCGCTCTTCAATATATGTGTATCTTCGATGGTATTGCTGATGATTGCTTCACTATCAGTAGTATGACGAACATGGTTTACAGCAGATTTTGTTAAGTCTGTAAGATCAGATAAAAAGCGTTGAACACAGTTCAGTTAGTGGGTTGAAAATAGGATTACTCAAAAATGTTTTGCATCTTTGAAAATCGCAATACCAGATATATTTATACTTATGGTTGATAAAAACTCAGCTTGGACGATAAGTGCCTAGGAGAGATTGGAAATTGGAGATAATTTGCCTGGCAAAACGTCATTATTGAATATTCGTGTATCGAATCAAACCAGGATTAATACATGGCGATCTCCAAGGCACGTCATTACTGAAAAATAAGCTCCCAACAACCGCATTACATTTAAACACTATCAAAACTATTGGTGTCCCAAAGGAATATTTAATTCTTAAAATAACTTTTCCCGTCTAACTCAACCTTCAGACAACAGAAAGCAGGTTCTAAAATAAGTATAGTATGTGACAATCTCAAAGTATATATCTATTAATTTATGTAGTTAAAGTTACTGCTCAAGTTTCCAGAAAAAGTGTACATGTTGCAGCTACCAACTAACTACTACAAAAAATAAATACTACCACTAACTTATTAGTCTATTCTAACCAATCGTTTTCGTTCCATTGGATTCTTTTCTATGCATTTTGCTAGCGGGAAAAATGTCCCCTTTATAAATATCCTTCAGAATTAAGTCTAAATGCCTGTAAAACAATAAGCTACACTGAAATATTAAGGCATTTTACCTCAAATTTCCTGCACAAATAAGCAACCAAATGTATGTCATAGACCAATTCAAGACAGTATTCAACAATAGCTAACACCCAAGAAACAATTTTTGAAGTGAAGTTTTTACACAATATGAGTTGATCGCAAACGTTTGTCAGTCATTACCTCTCTAAAGTTTTGAATGCTATCTAATATGATACAAGTGCTTGGAGATAGCTGCAAACTTGCCATTTCCACAATAGTACAGCCACATTCAGTTAGTAACAATACAGAAAGCCGGAAAACACTTCAATCAAAACATCGCAGCAATTAAAACTTTTATACAGCAGTACAAAGCACTAAGAACATTACCAGCTAATTCTATCCCAGCTACCCCTATTCTTCGGCATCTGTTTTCGATTTCGTCGCTGTCTTGGAAATATTCTTGATCACCTTCATGAACATTTGCTTGATGCCTGTTTGATAGCCTTTGAATAATATGAAATCAAACAGCTTACTTCTTATCCAGATATGTGTCACTAGCCTTCTGAATAGTATCAATGGGGTCACTTTTATCCAGAAGATCATGAAGTCTCCAAATTATTAGCTTAACTATTAGAACAAATGACCCGACAGATAAACTATAAAGCACTGCGGTGATGTGTGACTTTACTGAAATCTAAAAGAAAATAAAGATTTTGGAGTCTAACCATATACAGAACCAGAGGTATAACAAATAGGATGATCCAAACATATATATGAATGACCAGAGTAAAACAGCAGTTTTACTGAAGCTAGTATCAGTTATTCTAACTGTGTGCAATGCGTTTCGCAGAATTCAAGCACCTCGAGGTTGCATCTCTTCATTTCTTCTTTCACATCACTCAGTTAAGTAAAAAAGAGATTTGCTTCGATTTTCTTTTAGGCGCTGTTTTAGCAAGTTAGATTTTTGTTGGAATGAGCTGGCCAACCTAATGCCCAACCGTAGTTGTTTATCAAAGCATGACATCGGCAGTAGTCCAGGAAGTCCTAAACGCTGTGTTAAACATGACGAGAAAACTTGTAAAAATAGACTTTATTCAGTTTGTATGTCTCAGTTATCTCTGTTTTGCTCGTATGGTCAGAGGGAAGAAGAGCATGTCACACTGAATGACTTTTTTAAATAAGTAACAATAACTGAGTTGATTACATCGTCAGGATGTGAAAGTATAAATACAGCATGAATAATGTCTTTTGTTTAGACTGTTTTTGTGTGTCAGTATTGACGGCATCACTGTCAGTAATCCATCCATCATATTTTTCGAAATTCCTCAAAGTCACTATATCTTCTACTGATATGACAATGAAACACAGGTATGATAGTGTTGAGAGTAAATAGACACATAAAATATTTACTCTATTCATGGTTTCATACCCTATGGTATTCATATGTGATTCTGTTATGTTCGTCACTAAGTATGCTTGAGGCTATTACGAGTTTACCTTAGTCGATAAACGCGAACTAGACTTTTACCAGTGTCCAGGTAAGTTACTTGAATCCCCAAATATAGTGAAAAGACTTCGTAAGCGTAGAAAGTATGTTCTACAAACACCCAGCAATCACAGTACAATCGAGCACACAACTCTCGTTTATTTATACATCATAGATACGTCCTTGAGACAGTCACGAAAATAGCACACTAAAATACACAGCAGCCAATCACAGCCATGGATTTTCCTGAAGGGAAATGAAATCTCAAAGTCAACTAATCAGCCCATGCTGGCAAACGTGAAATACAAAATAAGGCATTCAACAAGCGAGTTTAAGGGATCTTACATCCTCAACAGATTCATTGTTGAAAACGTACCTTCGTCTTAAGACTTTAATCCGAAGATCACGAATCTTGATTACGATATCTATGAGTAAGCTCTATGCGGGGAATTAAAAATGAGTGGAAATATTTGGACATAACAACCGAGAGATGTAATATGTATTTGTTGATTTCTCTACTAAATGGATTATTTCTCTGGCAACAGTTTTTGATTTAGCGATTCGCGCAAATTCTACGTGTTTACATGTCGTATAGAATTTACTATTCTTATAACGACATTAGGGCGGAACGATTATGAGACTGCTGTGAATGACTGAGTTCACCGAAAACTGATTCGATTCGGTCGATGTCAGCAGCTGAACAAACTCTTGTGTTCTTTTCAGAATGATTTTCATGTACATAATCGCGATGGTGGAGAAGTGATTTTGCTTAACAGATTAACATTATAGTAACATGAATAACACATGTTGATTTTCACTGGGGTTGTCAACATCTTTGTGGCTTTCAGTTTTCAACATGCAGATGAGAGGAGAATGTTTTATTAAAATTCTGCGGCTCAGTTAGACAACAGACAGTTTTGAAGTTGAAAAGAACATTATTTCGTAGGCCAGTAGAGGCAGACTTAAATCATTTGCTTATAAAACGTCTTCAGAGAATGAAGGAAGAAAGCAAAAAGCAGTGACGTTTTCAAAAGAACATATTAGGTGATATTGAGAATGAGATAATGGAACCAGTTAAACACTTGTGCGAAAAGTCAAATCACCTCACGATATGCAAACTTCGTGCTAATGGATTTCGTTCATAAATATTGTGCATTTGAACTACTTCTTCATGCAGTCCTGTTTTATCCTCATTCATTGTTGTCCATTATCAGAACTATACTCCGGTTGTTCCTCTTGAACGTAGGTGGAGGCTGATGGGTTCTAGTTAGTGTACATTCAGATGTCAAGACGAACTTCTTTCACTGATTTTCGATGCCTCATACTCAAATGCATTTTATAAGAGCAACTGGATTGAGTTTCAAGATATTCAGGTTCAATACAGAATCACATTTTTTACTTGAGCATTACATATAATTAGGTTGAAATTGAAATAATTCATTGAATTCATTGACTTCAAAAATCGAGATATTATTCAACTAGAAGTAAAAGACTATTAACATTACGTCAATTTCATTAGTACTACGTTTTTTCTGAGTTTACTGCATAGAACTACTTCTTCCTAAATTATTGTAAAATTATCTGACTGTGTAAATGACAGGTATATATTTACGTTGACCTAATTAGGTATCTTAACTAGGTATAAGAAGCAGTTTTCTGTATTGTGGTATGAGCTTGGTGAAATTCCGAGTGAAAATAATCAATCACACTGTGCAATCATGTGTGTGTGTGACCGGCAATCACGTATGCCAACCAATCAATTGCGATGGAACGTTCGTTCAACAAGAGATGATCAATGATGAAAAACACATATTTCAGTAGTCAGTTTAAAGAAAATGTAGGTGAAAGACCTAATGAACAGTGTAAATCTTTACAATACAGATGCACAATACTCAGTGGTGGTTTTCTCGCGCTGTATTTGTGCGTATGAGCAGCCTGATACAAAAATCAGTCATCTGTGTGTGTGTTCATATTAGAAATACAATTTATCCAACATATTATACATACGATGAAGACATTAGCAAATTTTGTTGTCCATCATATAAATACAAATCTTTGAATAATAGATAACGAAATACGCATCAAAATGAAAATAATATAGTCACTATGAAAATTGGTTATTCTGTATAGAAGTTAACGTGTAAAGATGATATACAATCACAAAAAAATGAAATCCGTCGTTGCGAACAAATGCAAAATATGGATGGAACAAAAATATTCAAATCCTAATAAGAAAACACGAGAATTTCCAAATGAATGACATAACTAAGTTTACGGCCGGAAGCAAAGCTGTGATTTCATCAGTTCTCTAGAAACTAAACTGAAAAGAGTCAATTTATTCGTTCTCATGTCCAAAGAAACGTATGAATATTGACGATATCGGCCAAATACGCGTTCAATTGTGATCTCACTTCTCTCATTCCGTTTGTTGGAAGGACCATTTCCCACATATTCATCGTCTCAGATGTCTTGTTTATTCATGAAATATGCTCAAAATGAAATAACAATTATCCACCAATCAAAAGTTAGTCAGTGTCGAATCGCAGTCGTTATTTGAGAATACAATGAATTCAAAGGATGAGTAAGATGTCGGCAACTGATTGATGTGGTTAATACATAACAGTGACTTGAATGACAGTTTTGTTGTTCCCATATAGCTGCATACTAATTATTTCTGTTACTGCAAATATTTGCCGTTGTACACCAACTACATCTCTCATTGGACGTCGTCGCATTTCGACATTAATTCGGCCAATGTTGTTCCACGCTACACCTGTGAAAAGAATGAGGTGAATGCATCACAGTTACACAGTAGTCAATATCACCACAAATCATCAACATGCTGATTGACGAGTACAGTGACAGATTCACTGACTGAGAAAGTTTCTTACTCTAGTAATTCGATATTCAACTTACTTTCAAAGACATCCGCATTTCACGACAATATGTTTTCATCAAACACCTGTAAGTCAGAAATCGGATGTGAGTGATTAGTTACGGCCGTCAAATCTGGTGTATTTCAACATCTGTCCTTTTTAACCTCTACTCATTCAAGCTGATCAAACAGCCAATGCAGCCGAAGAAAACTCCCAATGATGTAATGAACAATAAACTCATCGATCAAGAACAAGAAATGACTGCACATTTGGTAACTCACCCTATAGATCTTGATGAGTCTACGCATGCTGAAACTCTAAATAGAATACGAACCCTAACTGCCATCGAGAAATCTAATGACACCTGCATTTCTGACCTGGGCAGTTCGAACGTTAATTTACTTGAATATGTGCCACAAAACAACACAAATTCAGTCACATTTACCCAACTAAAGACTATTCTGCGCAAATAAATTACCTGAAAGGACCCGAGGGATTTTGATTGTATTTCAAGAAACATGTCTATTGCACCAAAACGCTCTCCCACCTTAACAAGGAAGAGTGAACAGACCAAACTTTTGGCCTCAAATAGTAAAATGTGCAGGATTCAAACCAGCTTACCAGAGACTTCCGGATACAGTGAACAGGTACATTCCTCTAATGTCCTGTAATGTAACCCTGACCTCTTTACGTTTTATGGCCGATAATACGAACACGTCCAACCAACGTCTAAACGCACACTGATAATAATAGTAATCCACTACTTAACCACCGAAAATCAGTTATTAGTAAATGTAACGGTAAAAGTTTTTTCACCTCACACTCACTCATTAATATTCAGGCTCTACATTGCAATAAGCCATCAGTCAATTAATCAGTCAATAGCAACGTACAGCTTCGTAAGTAAGTACAACAGGTTAAGCTTGATAATGAAATTGTTGCCTGGTCTTTTTAAACTAAATAATCCATTTGTTTGGTTCACTATAGTCATACCAATTTCAAATTCAAGGTTCCAGTTCTCTTAATTTGATCGCCCATTCATGCTCCGACCAATTCACAATCGTGGTACTTTCTACATAACTGGTTATCCGCCTAACATTCATTATATCCCGAGCGCTAAAAGAAAGCTCCATTAACACATTAACCAGTCAGTGACAACTTAAAACATCGTACGTACGTACATAAATCATTTCAAGTTGTCATACCACATTAGCATAGTGACGCAGTAGTCAAATAAAATACCATGTAGAATCCTTTTCGAATGTTTTGTTTTTTGGAAAATCCCTCCATGTTTATATATTTGTGTTATGATTTGACTGACTCATTCTGTTGACATTTTGGTACTCTATTTGATTCCATTTTGAGATTTTATCATTGTATATTGTTATTATTTCTATATTTTGTACTTATATTGAAGTTTTTATGTTTGCTTCTGAACTGTACATATGTTGTTTAAATTTGATATTTAATATGGCTACAGCCAGTTTGGATTTGATACCGTAGCAGTTTGGACTGGAAGCACTTATTCTTCCAGAAACCGATACCCACCAGGGTAAATTGGATTTGGAAGGTGTAATAATAGTTGGGTAATTGTCTGTATTTCCACTTTATTTTGAATAAAGACCGTTTTCTCCCAGAATTATTGTGTTTTGGTTTTGGATCTAGGACGTCGAGTACCAACCTGCACCTATTGGAAACGGAGTGAACTGCTGGGGTAGAAAATCCATCTACATCCAATAATAGTAGAAGTAGTAGAAGCATTAGCAGTAATCTAAATGATTGATGATCGATTAAATTATTCGAAATATATACTCCAGAAGAATCAGTCAAGAAATAGAAAAAGAGTCGTGAAGAATACATAAAATCCAGATTTGGGAGAACCCAAATACTAGATGCACCTGGAGCCGGGTCATTCAAGTTCTCTAACCATCGATTACTATCATATTGTGAACCTCAACCAGGTAGTCTATAGCTACCAACATGACTCAGTCCACTTGTCAGTCACTCCATGGATTTGTGCCATGCTTTTTCTGGCCACCCCTAGGTTTCTTCCAGCCTATTTCTACACCGCAAAACATCACTCATCGAGGCAGTTGGTGGTTGGGCATTAGCAAAGCATATCCCAACCACTTCAGCTGATGAAGTTTCAATACTTCATCTACTGATCTGCCATCCTTACCTAGCACCCGTTTCCTAACAACTGCATTGCTTACTACGATGTGCCAAGATAAACATGCAATGGTTCGGATACACTTATGGTCAAAAACCAGTAACCTACGAATGTCTTCTGCTCTCAATGGTCAAATTTCACAGCCGTAAAGTAGGAACGAGCGAACTACTGCGCAGTACACTCGTCCGTTAGTCAGCAAACGGATATCTCGCCTGCGCCATAAATAACGCAAGTTGGCGAAAGCCAATCGAGCTTCCTGTATCCGTGCTCAGATTTCGTCAGTCACCAAGCAATCAGTGGTGATGATTCTCCCCAGATAAGTGGAGCTGTCAACACGCTCACGTTAATAGTGTATATGCGTTGTTTCTAATTCTCTCTTACGTTTAATGGTTAATTGTAAATAATGATCTCTAGTCTACTTTCATTTTTTTTTGTACACCTTATCGGAATTAACATTCTCTACTAGCTCCAACATTACAAGCAATCCAGACAACTTTGCCAGATAATATATCCACATAGCATATCACACTGATTTTAAGTAAACGAATGGTATGATTTATAAGATGAGTCAATTAATAGGTAGTTTGGTAATAGGAAGGACAGGGAGCTGGAACGAGGAGAAAGTGAAAAAAGAGTTGAAATAATGTGGAGCTGTCAACACGCTCAACTACTTCACTCTTTATCACTAGTTCAGGTGCGGACGCACCCCAATCTTGAAGCAATATTTTGCATTTTGAGAGGTAGAACCGTATCCTGAACACGCTTGCATTGTTGCTCAGGGTGTTCAGAAGACTCTGCATTTTGTCACCAAATAGAACTGTCATCAGGAAACGTGTCTCCCAGTAGAGGGCCCACTACTGGAAATTCAGGCGATGATAATAATAATAATAATATATTCTCAAATAACAAACATGTTACAAGAGACATGCCAATTTACAGTCAAGATCAAAATGTTAAGATTAGCAACATATTTTTTTTAAAACGGTATACAGTTCCTGAAACATTTCACAAGATCCATTGTTTTCTTAAAGATGGAATGTACAATGCGAATAATGGGCGCAAGTTACGAAGGTTGCATTACGACAATCATCTTATGGACTGAGAAACGATTCATGGTAGAGATAGGTTTTCATATAACAAGAATTGATGCGG